TACCCTACTGCTCAAACCTCTAGGGCAGGCTGTGGGGCTCTGACCCCATGGCAGTGTCTAGGGGCAAATGTTTACAGCTGAAGCCCCGGGGTGGGGGGGGTGCTCTTTTAGGTTGCTGTCTATAGGTGTCTTGTGTAAACCAGCTCAATTAGACCCCCTTTCTTATCACAAGGACAGAGATTTCTGTATCCCAAGGTTTTTGCCTTGGTGTAGCAGAAGAATAGGATCACACGTGGGCTTTAAGAACTAGTGCAACGTTTTATTGAGTAATAGTAGCAGCTCTCAGCAGATAGGGGAGCCAGAGGGGAGATGGTTTTTCCCTGGAGTCGGGCTGCTCAGCGGCTTGACTTCTCTGACCACTCCAGCCAAAGTCTGTGTCTTTCTGCTGGTGGATGACCTGCCATGCCTGTCAGCAAGCTCTCGACAACCAGCCCTTTGCGTCTTCTTCCATTCCTGGCAACATCCAACCACTTCTGTGTCTGCCCACTAGGGGCTCAGGTTTTTATAGGCCCAGGATGGGGGCGTGGCAGGCCAGGGTGGTCTTGGGAAATGCAACATTTAGGCAGGAAATTCCTGCCCTCACCTAGGTCCACGGGGGTGGATCCCTAGCCAGGGACCCGTCTTTCTCTACCCAGCACTTCCTTTCTCCAGTCTGTATCATTTAAAGGGGCCACACTCTTCCCTTCTCAGCACTCCCGTATCATTTCCCCACTCTGAAGAGGAACATCTGTCGCTAGAACATGTATGATGACCAGTCTTAGCTGCTTCCTACTGACGAGGGGTGTTGTTTTGGAGGAAAAAGGCAGTCGAACTCCTCCCAGAGGTCTATCTAAGGGCTCCTAGCAAAGGGGAGCCAGCCCGACGCTCCGGTTCTCTTCACAGAGGCTCCAAACAACGTTTGCAGTTTAATGGCTTCTAGGTGTGAGAGAAGAAAAGTAAGTTTTTATTGTTGTTCTTGTTGTTGTTTTGAGATGGAGTCTCACTCTGTCACCCAGGCTGGAGTGCGATGGCGTGATCGCAGCTGACATGCATAACCCATTCATACTTAACCTTATAAGAGCAAACTTTTATAAACACGTGTATTATACAAGAATTAAGTGCCAAAGATTATAGCAATAAGAAGTGAAATACACTAACGACGACATTGTACCCTGAGCTATTTCACCCTGGAGAAATAAATTAAACCTTGTATGGGAGCGGTTAAACTTTTAGAAGAGAGATAACTATTCTTGCCATAGCTTGTAGCAGTTAACAGGTGCAGCCTGGGAACACCTGAATCTCCTCTCTCTTTCCCAGGTCTCCCTGTTTCTATTATAAAAGGCCGAGGTGGCCACTTTCAGGAGGTCCCACAATGTATTTTCTGGTCCCAGGGCCCATTTTGGCAACTTCCTGCTGATATCAGGGGAAGCCTGAGTAATAAATTTATCCTTTAGTATTAACTGTACCTCAACTGAATCAGCAGATAGAGAGGTGTGCTCTCTTAGCCCTTCCAGGAAGGCAGTGAGATTTTCATCAAATCCCTGGTTGATCAGGGACAACTTAATATAATTGAGAGGCTTGGTTCTAGTCCTTCCTAAGCCTTACATTAAGCACACCTGAAAGTGTCTCCGCCTCTAGTCTTCCACCTCATCATTGGGATCCCATTTAGGGTAATTCACTGGTATTTCTCTTTTGGTTGGATGTTCTCCCCCTTCCTGATGCTGTATGTGATACAAAGCTCATCCCCAAATCTCTCTGCTAATTGCAGAGCAGCATGTGTTTGTCAGGGTCTGATTCAAAAGTAACATAACGTCTCTCCAGGAGAGTTCAAATATTTGAGTGAAATTCTGGAATGCCTCTATGTATCTATCAGGGTCATCTGAAAACTTGCCAAGATCCCCTTTAATTTGCTTTGAGTCCTGTAAGGAGAAGGGGACCTGGACTTTACTGGGCCCAAATTCATTGGGCATGCATTGGAGGGGCAAGCATGAGACTAGGGCTTGTTTAGAATGAGAATTTTTAGGAGGGGGCAACTGAGAGGCTGAAGCTGGATAGGGAGGTAGGGGAGGACCTGGAGGAGCAGGGCTTGAGGGAGCTGGCTCCTCTGCTGGGGGTGCTTCTGGGATTCATATCTTTAATTCCCTGGGCTTGCCCCTTGCAGCCTTCCGTAAGATAGCAAAGAGGAGGGCTGGATCAATCTTACATTGTTGGCAAAGGTCTGGATTGCCTTGCAAGATATGGAAAGCCTGCATATATGCGGGCTCAGTCCTCACATCTACAAAAAAGTTCCAACTACTGAATGGTATCAACATGAGTTGTTGCTTCCTGGGGTTAACTCAGTCCTCCATAATTTGGCCAAACCTTTGTGCAGAGGGCTGAGGCATTCTTCCTCCAGATTCCGAGGGTCAAAGCAGTCCCAATGGTTCAGGATACACTCGAGCAGAGTATAAGCTGGGGGTGGTGAAGAGAACTGGTTGCCCATTCTGAAAGATCGGGAATAGAGGTGTCCCCCATTCCTTTCCTTCTTTCAGAAAAAACTCATGGTGTGATGGGGAGAGAGAGCGGGAGTCCTCCCTTCATTCTCCACCCCTTATCCCTGAGCCCCAGAGACTTCGTCAAGTGCTGGCCATAGGTACCAGTGCAGTATGTACACATAGAGCAGGGAAAACCTGAGGAATAGGAATGAACCACCCTCACCTGTGCCTCCATTTCTCCCTGCTGTTCACAAACTTGAGTTCCCTGGGCCTGTTTATGCCACGAAGCATGGTCTCCTGTAGGATGGAGGATTCGGTCAGCAGGAATTGGTCCTGCCCATTTACATTGTACCTGTTGCTTGGCTTTGGATCCCTCAGACCTGGTTTTTCTGTCTAAAGTCTCTGCCTGAGGGTTAGAATTGAGTTGGGGACTGAAAAGGCATTTTAGAGGCTGTTTGTATCTGTTTAGAGTGTCTCAAATGTGCCTTCGAATTTGCAGTTCACGGCCAGCAGGGGCCATTCCTTCATTAACTTCCCTATCAGAAACAGTGTGTGTGTGTGTGTGTGTGTGTGTGTGTGTGTGTGTGTATGTGTGTTGGGGGGGTGGGGCAGGGCTCTCACTTAGAAAAGGAAAAAAGAGGCCGGGCGCGGTGGCTCACGCCTGTAATCCCAGCACTTTGGGAGGCCGAGGCGGATGGATCATGAGGTGAAGAGATCGAGATCATCGTGGTCAACATGGTGAAACCCCGTCTCTACTAAAAATACAAAAACTTAGCTGGGCATGGTGGCACATGCCTGTAATCCCAGCTACTCAGGAGGCTGAGGCAGAAGAATTGCCTGAACCCAGGAGGTGGAGGTTGCGGTGAGCTGAGATCGTGCCATTGCACTCCAGCCTGGGTAACAAGAGGGAAACTCCATCTCAAAAAAAAAAAAAAAAAAAAAAGGAAAAAGGAAAAAAGAGAAGAATAGTTTAAGGGGGAAAAGAGGGAGATTCTGGGGGAACCCCTTCTTAGTGCAAGTGAGCCTTTCTAATCCTTACATCTTTTCTCCCAAACTGGCTTGAATTCCTTGGCCAGGGAGAAGAAGTTCTATCGGTGAGAAGCACTTGTCTGTTGGCCCTGTAGGATCATAGCTATCATCAGGCTGTCTCCCACCTGCCTTGTGGCTGTTGGGCTTGGCCTTTGCCTGCTACGGGCACACCTAGGTGCCTGAGCTGGGAGGGGAAAGGGTAAGGAGAGATGCCCTGAGCTGCGCGGGCATGCGGCTGTCGAGGCATACATGCCACCTACAGGAATAGGTGGTCTGATTTGCACTATTGACAGCTGAGCCTAATACTCATTTTACTTAGTAACATTGCTGCAGCCTGCAGCAAAACTCTTAACATTATAAAGGAAGGTAAAAGAGCCATTTCAAACACGTGAGAGCAAGAAAAGTCTGGGGGTTTTGATCTGTTGGTTAGGTGGTTTAAAACTCCACGAAGAGAAACAGAGCCGCTTACTTGAAAGAAAGAGAGAGGGGTCAGCGTTTTGGAAGAGAGGCAGACAGGACAGTTTCACATTCGCTTACACTCACCTTCTATCTCGGACGAGCTCCTGGTTGAAATGGGAAAGGTTCCCTTGTCCTTCTTGCAGGATGTGTGATGGGGTATGGCTCACTTCTTCAGTGCCCTGCTGCTCAAACCTCTGGGGAGCATACATACAGGCAGGCAGTGGGGTCTGACCCCCCGGCAGTGTCTAGGGGTGAATGTTTAAAGCCGAAGTCCCAGTGGGTGTGTGTTACAGTGTGCTCTTTTAGTTTACCCATCTGTAGGCAGCTTGTGTTACTCAGCTCAATTAGACCCCTGCCTTATTGCAAGGATGGAGGGTTTTCTGTATCCCTGGGTTCTTGCCTTGCTGTACCCAAAGAATCCGATCACACGTGGGCTTGGAGAAGAAATACAAGGTTTTATTGAGTAGAAGTAGCTCTCAGCAGATGGAGGAGCCAGAAGGGAGATGGTTTTCCCCTGGAGTCAGACCACGCAGCAGCTTGACTCCTCTCTGACTCCTGTGGCTAAACCACCTATTCTGCCAGTTGATGGCCTGCTGCTGCTCTTCCGTCTTCTGCCAGCGGGTTCTCAGTAACCAGAGCTTGTGTGTGTCTTGTTCCACTGATGTGTTCCTCATGACGCCTAGCTGTTTCTGTGTCTGCCTGCTAGGGTCTCAGGTTTTTATAGGGCCAGGATGGGGGCATGGCAGTCCAGGGTGGTCTTGGGCGGGAATTGCAACATTTGGGCAGGAAATGCCTGTCCTCACCTAGGTCCATGGGGGTGGAGCCCTAGCCAGAGACCCGCCTTTCTCTACCCAGCACTTCCCTTCCCCCTTTCCCTATCATTTAAAGGGCCCACACTGTTCCCTTCCCAGCACTTCTGTATCAAAACCTCCATATTCTCTTTGTGAGACAATATAACTGGGCCACCTGTCAGGAGATCCCCGGTGTTTGGCCCGAGGGCACCTGTATTCTGTGGGCTGGCTGGGGTGCTGGGGTCAGGGTGGGGGCAGCTATAACCTCTGTGCTTCATTGTCCCCTGGTGCCACCAGACATTGCTCAAGCTGCCAGCACCATGAAGACGTGGACTTCAGAGCATGTCTTTGACCACTCATGGGAAACTGTTATGACGGCTGTAATGCAGAAATCCCCAAACCCTATGAACCCAGGTGTGGTTGGAGTTAATGTGTTGAACAGACTTGTAGATCCCTCTGGAAAGTTACACGGCCACCGACTTCTCAGCACAGAACGGGGACTGCTGTTCATTGTGAAACGTCTTACTGCTGCAGCAAGAAGCAAAAATAATGTGCAAGAACATTCTGTTGATCCTGTAGAGAAAGCAATGGAACTTAAATCTACTAATATTTCATTTACAAGTATGGTTTCAGTAGATGAGACACTTATGTACAAACCACATCCTCAGGATCCAGAAACAACTATTTGGACTCAAGAAGCCATAATCACCTTGAAAGGAGTTAGCCTCCAGAGTCACCTTGAAAGACTGATGGCAAGTACGATATCCTCAAGTGCTAGTAAAGATGGTGAAGCAATGGAATGGGGAATACACAAATTAAATGCTGAGGCTGGGCTGGGCACAATGGCTTATGCCTGTAATCCCAGCACTTTGGGAGGCCAAGGCAGGTGGATCCCTGAGGTCAGCAGTTCGAGACCAGCCTGGCCAACATAATGAAACCCCATCTCTGCTAAAAAATAAAAAAAATTAGCTGGGTGTGGTGGTGGGCACCTGTAATCCAGCTACTTGGGAGGTGGAGGCAGGAGAATGGCTTGAACCTGGGAGGCTGAGCTTGCAGTGAGCAGAGATCGCACCATTGCACTCCAGCCTGGGTGACAAGAGCAAAAAAAAAAAAAATTAAAAAGCTGAGATTGAAGAACTGACGGCCTCAGCAAGAGGAAGCACAAGGACTCTGTCTCAAAAAAAAAAAAAAAGCTGAGATTGAAGAATTGACAGCGTCAGCAAGAGGAAGCACAAGGACTCCAGTGGCGGCAGCAGCATTTGCATAGAAGTGATCATGAAAGCTGGTAGACAACATTGGGTACCCCAGGTGTCTCCAAGCTGACTATGTATTTATTTGTCATTTTAAAATGACAATTATGTTTTAGGTAGAATTTTTTTTTGATAAGCTGGCTACGTGACTTTTGATCAAAACAGAAGGGTTTCTAAATAAAAGGGATCATCTGAAATTAACGTTTGAAATTATCTGATTTTGAGGGTTCCAGTATTTATGTGAAAATTTAAGGAGAAGTTCTTGGAAATTGGTATGGGCATTAAATCTCCTTAAGGTAGAATTTTACAGCTTTAAATACATTGGAACTCCACCTGCCTTTGGACCAATTCCAGAACAGAGCAGAGCCACTTCCTGTAGATGCCCATTGCTCTGCTGCTGTACACTTCAACAGCTTGCACAAGGGAACGCACTTAAAAGGAGAAATTGGGTAGTTTTAAACTATATTTTGTGTAAAGTAACTTGCTCTGCTATAAACCACCATTAAAAACCAGTGTTTTGATTTGGTACTTAAATATTTTTGGAGTGAAAATTATCATTAAAGTAACATATGACTCCAACAAAAGTATAGTTTTGTGTTTTGTTTAGTTTTGAAACAATGTCTTGCTCTGTCATCCAAGCTGGAGTGCTCCTGCAGTGGAGCGATCTCAGCTCATTGCAACCTCCTCCCAGGTGATTCTTGTTCCTCACCCTCCTGAGTAGCTGGGACTACCAGTGCACACCAACACTCCTGGCTAATCCTTATACTTTCAGTAGAGATGAGGTTTCACCACATTGGCCAGGCTGGTCTTGAACTCCTGGCCTCAGGTGATCTGTTTGCCTCAGCCTCCCAAAGTGCTGAGACTACAGGCATGACCCACTGCGCCAAGCCAAAAGTATGGTTTCATTATATTAAAGAGTACTGTATTGATCTGCCAAAGTTTCGTAACTTAGTAAAGGTATTATCTTACTTGGATTTGTACTTTGTGATTTAGTCTGCTCTACCATGGGCTGGTTATGCTAACTGAACAAATAAAGTCATTACCCGAGTTTTGCAGCACTCTAACTCTACACAGAAGAACAGCTGTTCACATCTTTTACCACTTCGCATTTGCCTAACTTAAAAATAATTTCATCATTTGAAATTATTCAAATGATGTCTTGTTCTGAAGCATAAACCCCAGGTACTTAATGTTTTTAATAATATGGTGCAAACACTGTCGTGTTTGAGGGTAGTGGGGAAGAACAAGGACGATGAAGAGGGGAGGAGTGGCCTGAAACTAACCACTAAGTGAATTGCACTGCAGCTTTTATTTAGGGAACCTCTTGTTTGGGAGGTCAGAGGGCAGCTGCAAACTGAAAAACAATCCAGTAATGTACTTCGTTTCATATGTTGTAGCAGGCAATAATCCACCACTAAATAATAGCTTTGACTTTTGCAGTTGTTGCATGCAAAGTGTTTTTGCTGGAAGATGATTAGCTCTCGCCTTTACTTTACAGAGCTTAATGTGACAAACTTCTAGTCCTGTTTCCTCTCAAAGAGATCAGTTAATATCTGTACATAAACCACAGAAACAGCATCATAAACTATTTTAATAAATAATATTTTAAAATTATTGTTTTTCTACTTAAAACATTATTTAGCTTTAGACTCCTTAGGTCATTTATAAAAGCAGGCTAAATTTAAGAAGGCTTCTGAATATTTTTTGTAACTGGAGATAGTTTTTACCAGTGAAATAACATTTCGGCTAAATAAAACCTTGCTAAATATTGATATTTGATAAAAAGTTACCTTGTATAATTTCTGCAAATTTCCCTTGTTCTGAAAAATGTGTAATGTCCTAAAAGATAAAAGATTTTAAAACAAATCCTTATCCTTTCTTTGATTTTTAAAACTCTGATCTATTGTTACAATTTTATAAATTTTTATTTTCTAGTACAGTTAGTGACCTTTTTTATAAAAAGCTGTTAATTCATACCTTTTACTTGTTAATATAAATGCACAGCAAGCACATGAATTTAAGAGGATTAAACTGGAATAAAGTGTTCATAAATGAAAATCTTCAACTATTTAATATTAAATTTGAAACATGAATTAAGAAAAACTTTTGCTAATAAAAACTTTCATTTTTAAATTAGAAACAAGTATAACTAAAGATTAGATCCACTTATAAATGTCAATGCAATAATCCTGAATAAAATATTGGAAATATAATCCATAAAAATATGAAATTAATATTATGGCCAAGTAAAATATTAGTTCAGGAGGGCAAGAATGGTTTAGGAATTTTTTTATTTTTTTTTGTGTGGAAGTTTTGCTCTTTTTTTGCCCAGGCTGCAGTGAAATGGCATGGTCTCGGCTCACTGCAACCTCCGCCTCCTGGTAGCTACCATGCCTGGCTAATTTTGTTATTTTTAGTAGAGATGGGGTTTCACCATGTTGGCCAGGCTGGTTTCAAACTCCTGACCTCAGGTAATCTGCTCACCTCAGCCTCCCAAAGTGCTGGGATTACAGTTGTGAACCACCACGCCCAGCCCTAGAAAACCTGTTAATATAATTCATCAAATTAATAGTTTTTAGAAGATAAACTATTGATCATCTCTATAAATGTTGAATAGCATTTGGCAAAAGTCATCAACCATTCTTGACTTAAAACAGTGATGAGATAAAGCTTTTTTGGTTTTTTTTGGCCCCAAATGGAGATGATTTCCTTTGATATCAGAAACATGACAGGGTTACCGACTGTCATCACTTCACGCTGTGCAGCAGGTACTAGTTAACACAATTAGCAAAAAGGAAAAAAACAGAAGTCTGAAATTGCAAAGGAAGAGGTAACGCTATTACTGTTTTTTAATAGATACAAAATATTTTACGTATTTATGGGATACATCTGAGTACTTGTTACATGCCTGGAATGTGTAAGGATTAAGTCAGGGTGTTTGGGTAGCTAGCACTTTGAGTATCATTTCTACATGTCGTTAACATTTCTAGTCCCCTTTTCTAGCTACTTTGAAAAATGCTTTGCAATGTTGCTAACAAAAATACTATGCAATGTTGCAAACTGTGGTTACCCTACTCTGCTGTTGTATAACAGGGCTTATTTGTTCTATCTAACTGTATGTTTGTACCCACTAATTAACCTCTCTGTCTTCCCTCCCACTCAAACACTCCTACCAGCCTCCAATATCTATCATTCTATTCTCTATCTCCATGAGGTCAATTATTTTTTAGCTCTCATGTGTGAGTGAGGACATATGGCATCTGTCTTTCTGTGCCTGACTTATTTCACTTAACATAACCTCCAGTTCCATCCATGTTGCTGCAAATGACGTGAGTTCATGGTCTTTGATGACTGAATAGCACCCATTGTGTGTACACACACACACCATATTTTCTCTATTTATCTATCAATGGCACTATTACTATTTTCAGATAACATGAAGACCTAGTGAATCAACTGCAAACTATTACAAACAATGAAATAATTCAGCAAGGTAGAAGGGCACAATATTAATATAAAGAAACCAATGCATATCAGATACAGAAACCACAATCACCTAGAAGCTGTAATGGAAGAAAATCCCCAAATATTACAATATGTTTAAAAAGTAATTGATAATAAATGAAAATATTTATATGAAGGAAAGCTTAAAATATTTTAATTTGAGTTCCAGAAGGGCAGGAGAGTGTGAATGAGTAATAAACAACATTTGAGGAGATAATAGCTGAGAATACAGCCATGCACCACATAAAAATGTTGCAGTAAACAACAAACCACAAACACAAAGGTGGTCCAAAAAGATTATAGTGCCATATTCTTACTGTGCCTTTTCTATATTTAGATACACAAATACTTACCATTGTGTTACAATTGCCTACAATATTCAGTACAGTAACATGCTGTGTATGTAGTAGGTTACGCCATCTAGCTTTGTGTAAGTATGCTCTATGCTGTTCACACAACGACAGTATTTTCTAAGGTCGTGTTTCTCAGAATGTATCCCCATCATATATCTCAGGATGTATGACTGTATTCCAAAACTGATGAAAGGCATCAATCCACCGATTTAAGAAGCCCTGTGAGTCCAAAGCAGAATGAACAGTTATTCTGAGACATATTGTAAAATAACCAATGTGAAATCTGGGTTTATTGGGAGTAGGGAGTCCCTGTGTGACCTTGTGGGATTGGAGGAAGATAAGTGGGTGCCTTTTGATTATCCTTGTAACTCACCTCTGAGACTTCTCTGGTCCCAGATAGTAGATTTCTGGTCAGTCAGGTCTGTGTGTCTCTTCATACTAGTGTCCACTGAGGTGTGGCTATCAAACTTCTGGTTTGTTCTTTCAGCTGGGTTAAAAGCTTGTGGTTCTCATTGTGATCTCAGCCTGCCCCAGGTCTCACTGACCTTTACATTCTAATTCTCCATCGTGGTCCTCACTAAAAAATCTATCCTGTGCCTTCTGTGGTACAGTTATTATCCTTGGCTACAGAAGCCCTTGTCATCTTCGTCTTCTCACTTCAATTGTCTTTAACCTAGTGGTTAAAGAATAGACTTCATACCTAGATTGACTTTGTGTTGAGATCCTGGTTTCCTATTACAGCAGTGTACCCTTGGGCAAGATAATTAACCTCTCTGTGCCTCACTCTCCGCAATTAAAAAAGTGCAAACAGGACCTATGTTATAGGTCGGTTGAAAAGATGCAGTAAGACCATTTCTGTAAACCACTTAGGCTTGTTCCTGGCACATAGCTCTCCATAAATGTTAACTGTTATTATTTACTGAGGTTCATGAAGGTCCAATAAATAGCACTTCATTTCCTCACCTGAGTACTGAAGTAATGAAGAAATATAGAGAGAGTAAAGTAGATGGAGATCAAAATTTACCTTTTTTTTATGCTGATAATACATTATTGTCGAATGTGATTTATATATCTGGGCAAGTGTCTTCTTTACACCAAACCCCAGAAGTAGGTGGACTTATTCAGTGTCAGGAGGCAATGAACTGGGGCAAATCTGTCCC